AAAAAAAAAAAAAAAAGAATATTAACATATCACAAAAGAAGAGAGATAAGTTATACATACCTGTCAGAGTATAGAGAAACTGTTCTTCTCCCTGCTCTACTTGGTTCTTTCTGTTGTCTAAAACCTTCTTGACTGTGTCCATTAGACCAAATGTGTGTGCTACATTGTTGAGAACAGCAGCATCTATGTAAAACAAAAGACATCCCTGTCCAATTAAAACAGAAATGTTCCACCACTCCCATTGTGCTGTTTATAAATATGAAACAACCATAAAATTCTGAGACTCTCTTAACTGCATTTTAATACATTTGAACAAAGATGTATTATATGCATAATGAATTCTGGTTTAATTGTTCTAATTTTTGTAAGCCTTTCCATATAAATAAAGACAAAGATCAGGCTGGGCATGGTGGTTCATGCCTATAATCCCAAGACTTTGGGAGGTCAAAACAGGAGGATCACTTGAAGCCAGGAGTTCAAAATCTGGGCAACCTAGTGAGACCCCTCTCTCTACTTACATGAATTTGAAAAATTTTTAAGGCCAGGAGCTATGGCTCACATCAGTAATCCCAGCACTTTGGGAGGCCGACGTAGGTGGATCACTTGAAGACGGGAGTTCAAGACAAGCCTGGCCAATATGCTGAAACCCCGTCTCTACTAAAAATACAAAAATTAGGCCAGGTACGGTGGCTCATACCTGTAATCCCTGCATTTTGTGAGGCCAAGGTGGGTGGGTCACCTGACCAACATGAAGTTCAAGACCAGCCTGACCAACATGAAGAAACCTGTCTCTACCAAAAATACAAAATTAGCCAGGTGTGGTGGCGCATGCCTGTAATTCCAGCTACTCAGGAGACTGAGGCAGGAGAATCGTTTGAACCCAGGAGGCAGAGGTTGCAGTGAGCCAAGAGCACACGATTGTACACCAGCCTGGGCAACAGAAGCAAAACTCCCTCTCATTAAAAATAAATAAATAAATAAATAAAATACCAGCCTGGGAGACAGAGACAGACTCCGCCTCAAAAATATATATACACATTTTAAATATTTTGCATCTACTTATAAGTTCTGACTTCTAGGTTTTGAAAACATGGTCCCTGTACTAGATAGAGCTAAGTTTCATCTCAGTTTTGTTTTTTCCTATCTGTGCAACTTTGGGCAAGGCATTTTACTCCTCACTTCTCTCATCTAAAATGAATGGGATTAGTAATACTTACTCTGCAAAGTAGATATGAAATTAGAAATATATTTTAAGTGTCAAACATGGGAATTGGCATGCAAGATCATTATTTTCTTTTTTTGAGACGGAGTCTCCCTCTGTTGCCCAGGCTGGAGTGCAGTGGTGTGATCTTGACTCACTGCAACCTTCACCTCCCAGGTTCTACTGCCTCAGCCTCCCAAGTAGCTGGGATTACAGGTGCATGCCACTATGCCCAACTAATTTTTGTATTTTTAGTAGAGACAAGGTTTCACCATGTTGGCCAAACTGTCTTGAACTCCTGACCTTAGGTGATCCGCCTGCCTTGGCCTTCCAAAGTGCTAGGATTACAGGCATGAGCCACCGCACCCGGACCTATGTTTTTTTTTTTAGACGGAGTCTCCCTCTGTTGCCAGGCTGAAGTGCAGTGGTGCAATCTTGGTTCACTGCAACCTCTGCCTCCCAGGTTCAGGCGATTCCTCTGTCTCAGCTTCCCAAGTAGCTGGGTTTACAGGTGCCCACCACCACACCTAGCTAATTTTTTGTATTTTAGTAGAGATGGGGTTTCACCTTGTTGGCCAGGATGGTCTTGATCTCCTTAACTCATGATCCGCCCGCCTCAGCCTCCCAAAGTGCTGGGGTTAGAGGTATGAGTGACCATGCTCAGCCCCAAGATTATTATTAATAATTATCTCTGTTCATTTCTATACAAAACTTCTGAAACTGTCAGCCAGGTGTGGTGGCTCACACCTGTAATCTCAGCACTTTAAGAGGCTGAGGCAGGCAGATCTCTTTAGCACAGAGTTTGAGACCAGCTTGGGCAATATGGCAAAACCCTGTCTCTACAAAAACTACAAAAATTAGCCAGGTGTGACGGTATGTGCGTGGAGTCTCAGCTACTTGGGAGGCTGAGGCAGGAGAATCAATTGAGCCCAACAGGTTGAGGCTACAGTGAGCTGTGATTGCACCACTACACTCTAGCCTGGATGAGAGAGCAAGACCCTGTCTCCAAAAAAAAAAAAAATGTCAGTATTTGCACTCATTGCTTCCTTAACTTGGACAACTTCACTATATTCCCTTCCATGGTCACCTCACTTGATCCCATGGTTTTAAATAACATACATATGCTAAGTACTCCCACTCATACATCTCCTGTCCTGACCTCTTTCCTGTATTCCACATTCATACTTCTGTCTTGATGAGTGACACATCTATTCAATGGTCTCATCGGCATCTCAATTTAAGAGGTAAAACACTAATTTTGATTTCCTCTCTAAACCCATTCCTCCCCTAGTGACCTTCGTCTCAGTAAATGGCATCACCACCACGTGAGCTTGGGTCAAAAATGTGTGAGTCATCTGATTATCTTTCTTTTTTTTTTTTTTTTTTT